AGAAGTAGGATTTTTATGGATTTTAAAACGGTCCAAAAAAAGCGCCCTAAATACTTAGTTGCAGCGCCTAAGCGCTACGAGACAGCGCCTAGGCGTTGGGGTTCAAATTTCATCTTTTTTTTCAGTTTTGTAGCGCCTAGGCGCTATGAATGCAGTGCCTAAGCGCTGTCTTTCTGCCCCAATTCCATGTTTTTGGCCTATTTGTCTACTTTAATAACTCTTTTCACATCGCCTCTCCTAATCTTCAAAACAACACTAACGAACACATCAAAAACGTTATATACTTACACGATCTAGCATTTAATCAAACTAAACTTGTGCAAAATTCATGAGTGAAACAAACTCATCAATCTCCTTTGGAAAGCTTATAGCTTTCTATGGGCACGTTATCCTCTGGCTCCAAGGTCCGATGTACAATTCTTCGACTTACCCACAATGTTTAGTGTGTTTCACCATGATTCTTGCCAATTTTTTCCAACTTTTTTTTTCAAAGAGTGTGGGGCCCATGCAGAATATAAGGACGGTGTCCTTGCAAAAAATTGAGGCATCTGAGTGTGTGTCAATCATTTGAATTATGGAAATTTGTGGAAAATCATTTCAACCCTTCAATTGGAATTTTGTTCCTTCCCATTCTGCCCTTTTGTTGTAATTTTGTTGTTTCCATTGAGGGCGAAATAGTCATCAAACTCAAGGCGGTTTTTCATCCTGTATTATCTCTGACAAAAGATTGAGTGATTGTAACATTTTATCAGTGTAAATACTGTAGCAAAATGAGATGTGATGAAAAAAAATTGGAAAAGAATGAAGATCAAACGGTGGCTTAGTTTGTTGACAATGATGCATAATAAATTGTGGCAATTACACTATCGCAAATATGTAAATATTACAATTCAAAAAACAGGTGTAAGATTCGATTATTCAAAAATCAGTTGATAATTCCACATTTTAATATTAACAGATATTATAAATTAATTTATATACCTACCATTAGGTCATCCATTCCATTCAAACCCTAATAATCTCTACACTCCCATCTCTCTCTACACTCACCCTTGTCTTAAAAAGGTTAAACCCTAACCTTAAGGGTCCCCCACCACCCCTACCCTGGAGCATCGTGAGAGAGGTAGATCGCAGGTTATGCCTCCAAGGGTACAGGGTGGAAGGCTACTTGTACACTTGCACTTACTCAAGAGCCAAATCCATATTTCAGGATTCGAACCCTTGACGCAGCAGCGTCAAGCAAAGCTGAATTTCTCCACCTTCCCCTTTTTACCACTTGGAGATGTGCCCTGGGGGCCACTCACCCTTGTCTTTCTCTACACTCTAGACCACCACTGCTTTGCACAATCTGACGAAATTCAATGGAATCGATGGACATTGCTTGACGGAGCGTTGATTGACATAGCACCACGAATGATGACAATTAACCTAGCAAGAATGTGCGTACGCAAACAAGAGACGACTTCATAGATTTCACGGATTAAAGCTTTTCGTTATTGGCATCTAATGATTCGTAACGTCAATTTGCATAAATGCAAATCGGAAGCTGCAATTCCACTTTTTGAGATGTCGAATTGGGCGGTGACAACAATTTGAACAACTTCTTCACAACCAATATTGTATTATTTCTTTAATTCCCTCTCATATTTCAATATTCAATTAATAAATTATTCTCTATGTTCTTTATTTTCTTAATCAATTTTTTTGAATATTTTAGTTTTGTTTAGTTGATTCACCTTTGCCCTCATTTCCCATGTGCTCTCCTTTTGTAACAATTTACAGATTTTTGCTGTAGATGAAGTTGTAGATGTGTAGAGTTTTTGCATTTTTAGCCGATTGAGTTCCTGTAATCAAATTTCTTGAATATGTGACATATCAAAGTGCATTGGTCATATGTCAAAGTTTATATGTTATATACTCAAGAGAGTTGGTGAAATGCCATTGGATAAGGTCACAAATCCAAGAGATTTGATCACCTGCCATTGGATCAGGTCACGATCATATGTAATTAGGCACATGAAAAAGTGCACAAGTCACAAATTTAAGAGATTTGGTCATAAACCATTGGCTCAGTCTCATCTCACGAATCCAAGAGATTTGATGGCGATTGGATCAGATCACAACTCACAAGTCATATGTCAAAGTGCATAGGTCACACGTCACAAATTCAAGAGATTTGATCATATGCCATTGATTTCTCCAACCTCGGTTGCCCAAATTGATCAAAAATTCAATTAATTAGATTTTGACAATGAGAATTGAAGTTATTTGCTTCGATAAGGACTCTATAAATTACACCAGGTGTTGACATCGTTGAGTCGTGGATGAAGAAGATGATCAGTCTCCTATGATGCTTAGTCGATGTTCTCCAACGATCATTATCTTTCTCCCTCTATCTCTACTATCCATGTAGGTGATGCTCATTGGCAGCTAAAGAAGTCATCGACGAGTGGATGCCGCACGGGTGAATTTTGACGACTGTAAGAGAGGATGACAGTGAACGGTGCGTGTAGGTGGGGATGGGTGAGGATAGGGATGTCAAATGGGCCGAGCCGGCCTCGGCTCGTTAAAGCTCGGCTCGTGGGCTATTCGGGCTCGTCAAATGACGAGCTCGAGCCGAGTTGGGGGGTCGATTCCAACAAGCCGAGCCCGCTCGGCTCGTCGAGCTCGACGAGCGGCTCGTGGGCCGAGCTCACGAGCCGGCTCCTCCAAAAAAGTGGGAAAAAATTGAAATTTTATCAATAAAAATTGAAAAATTTGCAAAAAAAAAAGAAAATAAAAAATTCATGAGCTCGCGAGCCGCTCGTGGGCTCGGCTCCT